GGATCGTTTGAGCTCAAGAGTTCAAGACCACCCTGAGCAACAGTGAGACCCGTCTCTACTAAAAATATAAAGAAATTAACTGGCCAACCAAAAATATATAGAAAAAATTAGCCAAGGATGGTGGTGCACGCCTGTAGTCCCAGCTACTCAGGAGGCTGAGGCAGGAGGTTCACTTGAGCCAAGGAGCTTGAGGTTGCTGTGAGCTAGGCTGACACCACGGCACTCTAGCCTGGGCAACACAGTGACACTCTGTCTTGGGGGTAACAAAAGCAAAAATTTCCTACAAACAAAAGCCCAGGACCAAATGGCTTCATGGAGATTTCTAGCAATATTTAAAGAAGAATGGACACCAATCCTCTCATCCAAACAAAAAAAAGGAGAGAACACTCACTAATTTATTCTATAAGGCTGCTATTATTCTGATACCAAAACCAGACAAAGACACACATTACAATAAAAGAAAATGACAGAACAATATCCCATAGAAAGATAGATATAAAATCCTCAAAAAACAAGCAAAAAATTCGAGCAAATCAAATCTAGCATCATGTAATTGGGATTATACACCATGACCAAGTGGGATTTATCCCTAGAATGCAAAGGTGACTCAACATAAGAAAATCAATCAGTGTAACAGACCACTTTAATGAAGATTCTAGCCAGGGAAATTGTCAAGAAAAAGACAAAAAAAAAGCATCTAGACTGGAAAACTCTCTCATGAATATCTTGTAATCTTATATACAGAAAATCCTATGAAATAATAAAAAAAAAAACCCTAAGAGCCAATAAGTGAGATCAGTAAGGTTGCAGGATATAAGATCAATACACAAAAAAGGTACATTTCTGTACATCAGCAATGAACAATATAAAAATGAAATTAATACAAAATTCCATTTAATATAGCATCCAAAAGAATAAAATACTTATTCAGTATATAGTGGGGGGAAAAAATAAAGAAGAATAAAATACTTAGAGGAATAAATTCAACAAAGTAAGTGAAGGACTTGTAAATTAGAACTTCAAAACATCATTGAATGAAATTAGAGACCTAAATAAACATATATCCTGTGTGCATGAATGGGAAGACAATACTCTTAAGATACCAATAATCCCCAAATAGATCTATAGATTCATGGCAATTCTTGTCAAAATCCCACCTAACCTTTTAGCAAAAATTGGCACACTAAAATTCATATGGAAATGGAAGGAACCCAGAAAAGCCAAAACAATTTCAATAAAGAAAAACAAAGTAAGAGGACTCACGCTTCCCAATTTCAAAACTTAGGACAATGCTATATTAAAAAGACCATATGGTACTGGCATAAAGATAGACATACAGATCAATGGATTACACTGAAAGTACATTACAGTTATGGTCAATTGATTTTTGACAAAGGTGCTAAGACAATTCAATAGGAAAAGAATAGTCTTTCTAACAAATGTAGCTGAGATAACTGCATATTCACATGCAAAATAAAGAAGTTCGACCCTTACCTCACACCATACATAAAAATTAACTAAAAATAGATCAAAGACCTAAATTTAAGAGATAAAGTTACAAAACATTTAGAAGGAAAAAGGTGTAAAATGTCACTACCTTGGATGAGGGAATGATTTATTAGCTATAACACCAAAAGCACAAGTAACCAAAAGAAAAAAGATAAATTGGAATTCATCAGTATTAAAAACTGTTGTGCCTCAAAACATACTATCGAAAGGCTGAAAACTCACCCCACAAAATGGAAGACAATATTTATACATCATATATCTGATAAGAGTCTTACTGTTCAGAATATATAAGGAGTTCTTACAAATCCAACACAAAACAACCCAATTTTTAAAATGGCAAAGGATTTGAATAGATATTTTTCCAAAAAAATTTACAAATGGCCAACAGGCACATGAAAAGATGCTCAATCAACATCATTAGCCATTAGGAAATGCAACTCAAAAAGATAATAACAAGTATTAATTAATGATGGGGAGAAATCAGAACCCTCATATACTGCTGGTAGAAACGTAAAATGGTGTAGCCACTATAAAAACCAAAGGGTTAAAGATACAGTTACCACTGACCCAGCAATTCCATACAAAGGTATATTCCCTAGGGAACTAAAAAATATGGCCATGCAAAATCTTGTACATGAATGTACAGAGTAGCATTATTCATCATAGCTGAAACATATTAACAACTTAAATGTTAATCAACATGATAAATGATGAATGAATTTTTTATATGAGAATTTTTTTAAAGGGATGGGTCTCTTTATGTGCCCAGGCTAGACTCAAACTCCTGGGCTCAAGGGATCCTCTCACCTCACCCAAGTAGCTAAAACTACAGGTACAAACCTGGCTAAAAATGTGGATTATTTGGCAATAAAAGGAAAGCAGTATTGATAAATGTTACAATATAGATGAGACTGAAAAAGGCTTTTACTTTGTTAAGTAAAAGCCAGATGCAAAATACCAAATATTGTCCGATTCCATTTATATGAAATGCCCAGAATAAGCAAATCCATAGAAACAGAGATTAGTAGTTGCCAGTGAGGGGAATGAGTAGTCTGCTACTGCATGTGAGGTTTCTTTTTAGGATGTTGAAAATATTCTTGAATTAAGGTGGTGGAGATGGTTGCACAACTTCATGAATATATTAAAAACTACTGAATTATATATTTTAAAAGGGTGAATTTTTTGGTATGTGAATTATATCTTAATAAATACAATAGTTCCCTGCCCATCCCCAGTTTTGCTTTCCAAAGTTTTAGTTATCTCCATTCAACCACCACCCAAAAATAGATGAGTACAGTACAATATGTTGAGATCACATTCACATAACTTCCATTACAATATATTGCTATAATTGTTCTACTTTACTATTATTGTGGTTAATCTCTTACTGTGTCTAATTTATAAATTAAACTTATCATAGGTATGTATGTATAAGATCACTCGAGGCCAGGAGTTTGAAACCAGCCTGAGCAACACAGTGAGACCCTCTAACAAAGTTTTAAAAATTATCCAGTCGTCGTGATGTGCACCTGTAATTCCAGCTACTCTAATAATCTACCCCAATGCCTCATTTTAAAGAAGACTTAGGGTTTTTCTACTACTTTATCAAAATTTACTTATCTTCAGTTTTCCTCCAATTTTTCAATTTTTAAACAGCATTCATATTTTGCCTGAGTTTCAAACAGATAATCCCCAATTTAAGTTAGATATTATAAAAACCCAAAAATCTCTCAATGTGTAAAAAGCCTGAGTAAAAGATAAATCATATAGCTATAGTACAACAAAATGTGTCTGATAAGCCTCCAAATAAATCTTTGAGTTGCCCCCCCTGCCTTTCAACTGATTTCTCTTTTGGGGGAACACCTAATCCTCATTCAGAATGCTGTAGGTATGCCTTTTGTTGCTACTGTTTCTCTTACCAAAATCAACTATCCTCAATCTGCTCTGAAATTTTAACTCCCCTGGAAAGCTCTCAATGGCACATTGTCTCTAGTAACATTCCACCAAACTCTGGTATCCAATATCCAAACCAACTTAAGGAGGAATTTGCAATTTTAATATGTTCCAGAAACAGAAGTTGAAAGATGATAAATTCAAGATAATAAGGGGAAAATTCAGATTTTCAAAAAAGATTGTATCTTATTGCACTATAACGAACATCACAATCAATCATTTTAAATACATTTTTAATGTCCTTAAACGTTAAACCTTTGACCTAGTAAGGAGAGTTGCATGACCCCGTTTCATTACTGTAACTATTAATGACACCTACCCGGTATCCCCCAGTCCATGAAGGAAAATAACCTAGAAGAGAAGAGTAAAAATTAATAAACAATGCCTAAATAAGCCCACACAGAATTGTTACACACTAGCCTTGCTTAAGGTTGAAAACGTAATGAAGGTTCTTAAAACCTACGAGAGAATTACACAATACTATCTTTGGCAAGTTAATCTCTACAGATCTTTTTAAATGGCAAAAAAAAAAAAAAAACCCACAAAAACCAAAAAACGAACTGGCTTCTCTCCCTTTAGTTCCTAAGGTAATTAACGTGGGGTTTTGGTCCTTAGAGGTCCCTGTAAGGCAGTCTCAAGTGCAAATTATCATATTCTAGGAAAACCAGTTTGTCTCTTCCAAGTCATAAGTCTCACATAGCCTGTAGAATTTTTCCATCACGAAAAGGAGCTTCCGGGGGCAAAAATAAGTTTGAGCTCTCATACACAATTTTCCCCCAGAAAGCCACCTCTAATCTCATAAGACACTAAATCTTCAAACTTCTTTCATTGAGAGCCGGCGTGCAGGGCGAGGCAGTAAAGCGATTTCCTTGCTGCCGAGCCTCCCCTCCTGCACGAAGCGGCAGACCCGCGCGGCGGCCCGACCTCCCGGCCGGCGGGGCCCGCGCACGGCGTCCGCAATGCAGAGGCCTGGGGAGCCGGCCCGCGGCGGCCCGACCGGGCGCCACACGCGCAGGCCGGCCGCGCCGCCCGCACCCACCCGGCGCCGCCGGCCAGCAGCGCCCGCCGCACGCGAGGGCAGTCGCCGGTGGGCCCGGCGGGCCCCTCCGAGCCCCAGCCTCCGCCACTCACCGCGGCAGTGGCCTTCCGGGCGGCAGGCACGACGGCAGGCAGCGGAGCAGACATGATGTTGCCGCACATACGACGGCCCCGCCGACTGAGGGAGCGGAAGGGAGAGCGGTCGCCCGGCCCCGGCCCAAGGGCGTGTGAGCGGCGAGTCCCGGCCCGCCCCACCGGGCGCGCGCTCAGGCGCGTGCGCGCCAACGGGCGCCGCGATGCCCTCCGCCGGCTCCGCGCGCCCCGGCGCGCCCAGGCCGGCCCGCCCCGGCGCCCCCGCGCGTCACAAAGCCTGGGCTTCTCCCTCCGCCCGAGCCGGCCGCGGCGAGAGCTGTGCGGGCCGCCAGCCTCTCTCTCCTCCCGCACACGGCCGGCGCGCCTGCCCCGCACGGCCGCCCCGCGGCGCTCTCCCGCCCGCCGTCGGGGCGCATCCTGCGGGGGGCGCTGTCGGGGCCGGGCTGGCGGCCGGGCCTGGGTCCTGGCTCAGTCCTCCGCTCAGCCAGCACGGTAGTGAAAAGACCGCAAACCAGCGGTACCCAGCCGCAGAGGCTCCCTGGTTCCTCTGCCAAGGTGTCTCCATTGGTAAAAGTCAGAAGGGCTGGACTGGGAGAGGCCAGTCCAGCTTTTGCTATATTTCCAGTTGGGGCTAAGCCAGTGTGTGAGTTGGGAGTCAACTCCCCTTCTCCTTTAAACGTTAGTTGGAAAGGAAAATATTCAGTTGTCACCAAGAATCCACCACACCCCTAAACTGACAATACTCATTGATGGTCCCATGTTGCAATAGTACAGATTTAAGCAGGAAGCTAGATGGTCCCTTTTCTGTGCGGGTGGCTCTACGGTTTAAAATATAGTTTACTCAAGGAATTTATTGCATATCTAATACATGGTAGGATCTGGGAAGGGGACAGGAGATAGAAACACTCAAAACCAAAATGCCCTGGCCTTCAGAAGTTTACGATTCAGTGAAGATACTCAAAGGCTATACCGCACACAATACTTAGGGTGAGATTGGGAGGGAAGCTAGTGAACAAAAGCTTAAAAAGGGAAAAACTACACTCTCATAGACACAGTAACCAGAGTACAGAGGGATTTGGGGTCTTATTCGCACTGTTTTTATCATTCTTGTCCCAGATTTGCATGGTGAAAATTTTGTGGGCCCTCAAAAATGTTAAATTTTTGATTTATTGAAAATGATAATAATGGGGCTCATGTTTGATGTACTAGTGTACATTTTTGCTAGGCTTTTAAGTTATTTTGTTGTGAAACATCACAACAAAATAGAGAAAATAAAACTATCTTTAGCTCTTACTATGAACATAACATATTCCAAAATCACTATTTTGTGAAATTGTCTATGATGTAATATGTAGAATTTCAGGCGCCACCAATCACTTTATTGGTGAGGAGTAGGACAGCTCAAGTTGAGGTATCTATGCTATTAATACTATTCCTGCAAGATTCACCCGGCCGTGCATCCTCCAAGGAGTCTTTCTTCACTCTTCTAATTAAATTATCTCTCTCTCCCAGGTAAGGGAATGGAATAAATATAATAATTGAAAAAAGACAAAATTATTTCAGATAGTATGATTGTACAAAGGGAAAACTCAATAAAAGCTATTTAAAAATTACTAAATTGAGCAATATAGCCAACGTCTAAATCAATATCCAAAAGGAATGGTTTTTCAAGATATAATAATAGCTGGTTAGAATATGTAATAGAAGAAAAAAATCTTCACAGTAGAAATTTTAAAATGTGTATATAGGCAAAACTTTTTTCTAAACCACTTTATTGAGGTATGATTGACATATAAATAGCTGTGCATATTTAATGTCTACATCTCCATGAATTTAGGGACAAGTATACACCCCTGAAACTGTCACCACCATCAAAACCATAAACATACTCATCACCTCCCAAAGTTTCCTACCATCCCCTTTATTATTATTATTATTGTGGGGGTGTTTGCTTTTGTTTATTTTGGTAAGAACACTTAACATGAGATAGACCCTCTTGTTGCCAAGCACATGGGTTCTGCTGCCTGCCACGCGAAAAGCAAACACGAGAGGTGAGTGAAGAGAGGTAGTTTATTCAAGTGCTGGCAGCCTAAGGAGATGGTGGATTATTATCTCAAAAACTGTCTCATCTTTCTCTGCTTACTGAGCACCTCATAAAGGGAAAGGATGAAGGGGGTTCGTGGAAGAAAGCAAACTTTGTTCAAGTCAGCATGGTTATTAGCAAACAATAGGTTGTCTGGTGAATCTTGTCATCAGCAGTCTGTGGTTGGCCTATTCGAAGTCTTAATCTGTTTTTCTTCAAGGTCATTTTCTAATCTTGCGCCTGACACCTGTATAAGCAAGAATCAGGTTAATTGTAAACTTTTAAGACAGAACAAGCCAAAAGCATGCTGGAGGCAAAATGGCTTCCCTTTAGCTAGCCTAGCGATATAGTCTGAATGGCCTTTGGGGTGCGCTTACACTCTTAGCAATTTTAAGTATACGGTACAGCACTATTAGCTTATAGGCACTATGCCACATACCATGTTTCCCCAAAAATAAGACCTACCCATAAAATAAGCCCTGGCAGGATTTCTAAGCAATTGCGCAATATAAGCCCTACCCCCAAAATAAGACCTAGTGATGGGCGTGGCTACGCAGCGTATCTGCACAACCCGTGCATTTCGTTGTGGAGCGGTAAAGAAGACGAGCAGCCCTTCTCATCTGCCCCATGAGAGCTCTATTGCTCGACATGAGACATTGGGGCCAATGGTTCTAAAGGAAATAGAGTCACAAGAAATTCAGGATCGAATTCAGGGTTTGGAGAGTTATGATGATGTTTCAGAAGAAGACGACTTAACTCTATTTGAATAAATGTAGGTTGTTGTACCGTACTTTAAAAAAAAAAAAAAAACACATCCCCTGAAAATAAGCCCTAGGGTGTCTTCTTGAGGAAAAATAAATATAAGACCCTGTCTTATTTTCAGGGAAACATGGTAGTAGATCCACAGAACTTATTTACCTTGCATAACTGTAGGGGGAGATAACCTTGGCTTGATTATTTCTGCCAAAGTATGAAGAAGTAAAACACTTCTGCATACCTTACTGTGCCTAACTAGCCTACCAACTTTAAATATTTACTACACTGAGCGCCCCCTACCTCCTCTTCCTTTGTGTCTTAGCAGCACACCTTAACCAATCGTGTAAGAAGAAGATTGTGCAGTGGAAATTCCAGCCAATGGGATGAGACACAGCCATAGGTCTGCATTAGGTATAGAAAGGGGAGGAACCCCCCCTGTAGCTCACTGGCCGGCTGCTCTTGCTGAGGATCGGTGCCTTTCTGATCAGAAGAAAAAATTTTGCCTTACTGAGACAGTTTGCAGTGTCTATTTTCTTAACAACATTGTGGGTCATTTCTAACATAACCAAAACTTTGTACATTTTAATCATTGCCTCTCCATTTCCCACTTCCCTCAGCCCCTGGCACCCACCATTCTATGAGCTTTGCTTCTATGAGCTTGACTATCTTAGAGTCTATATGTAAGTGGAATCATACAGTATTTGTCTTTCTGTGTCTGGTTTATTTCACTTAACATAATGCCCCCCAGGCCCTTCTCCTAAATAGCAGGATTTCCTTCTTTTTTAGGTCAAATAATATTACATTACATGTATATTGACAACCCAAAATAAGTGACTGAAGCAAAGGTCTCAGTCATGGAGGTTCATTAAGCCAAAGTTGAGGACGAACCCATGAAAAACAAAAACCACAGACAAACTGTGGTTGTTTTTCCAAAGCAGGATTTGGGAACTCAGGTTTTAAAGGGTATAGGGTATATAGAAAGAAACAAAGAAGAAGGGGGTGGGCAGTGAAACAAAATGGTTACATTCTTATGAGACTATATTTTACATAAGGAGAATGTTAGAAGAGAAAAAATGAGTGAAGGAAGCACCAATTTTGCAGATGTCCCCAGTGGGTGGCAGAATGTTTGATCTTGTCTCTGTTCTGCATGTGGGAAGATAAACCTATAATCGACATGATTCATGTGGAATCAAGCAGATTTTAGTTTTAGGATCTAGCCCCAAAGTTTCAATTTGCTTATGGGAGACCAGCAAGGAATTTCCTTATGAATGATCTGTGGGTGCAGGCCATGGCAAATGCCTGAGGCCCCTTACCTGACTAACTCATAGTTATTATTATTTTTTTTAGTTTCCAAGAACTCCTTGTTCTAAAGCTGTCAGCTCTGTGAGGGCAGGCCTTCTGCTCTGGGCCAGTCTCCATGGCACCCCAGCACTTAGGCCCACCCAGCATTGCAGAGCATACCCTAGTAAGTGGGCCACGAATACGGAAGGGAAGGATCAGGAACCCAAGTAAATCTATAACCATGGTATTTGACTAATGGATGATGTTAATAACAGCTATTCATTTGGAAGGAGATTTTGCATGACTCAGCCTCCAGCCTTGACCTTCTTTGTTGCATAAGGAGTTGAAGGGGGGATGGTCCTGAGATTTTTATTTCCTTTACAATATATCACAATTTCTTTACCCATTCATCTGTTAATGGATGTTTAAGTTGTTTCCGTATGTTGGCTATTGTGAATAATGCTGCAATAAATATGGGAGTGCAGATATCTCTTTGAGATCCTGATTTTAATTCCTTTGACTGAATACCCAGAAATAAGATTGTGAGATCATATAATAGCACTATTTTTAATTTTTTTGTGGAACCAACATACTGTATTCCATAATGGCTGCACCAATTTGCATTCCTATCAGCAGTGTACAAACGTTCCCTTTTCTCCATATCCTCAATAACACTTGTTATCTTTTGCTTTTTTGATAATGGCCATCCTACAGGTATGAGATTGTATCTTACTGTGGTATTGACTTGCATTTACCTGAAAATTACCTATGTTGAGCATCTTTTCATCTACCTGTGGCCATTTGCATGTCTTCTTTTGAGAAATGTCTATTCAGGTCCCATGCCCATTTTATAGTCAGGTTATTTGGTTTTATGCTATCCGGTTGTATGAGTTCCTTGTATACATTGAATATTAACCCTTTATCAGATATATGGTTTGCAAATATTTTCTCTCATTCTATAGATTACCTTTTCACTTTGTTGATCGTTTCCTTTGCTATGCAGAAACTTTTTAGTTTGATGTAATTTTACTTATTTATTTTTGTTTTTGTTGTCTATGCTTTTCATGTCATATCCAAAATATCATTGCCAAGACCAATGTCAAGGAGCTTTTTTCCTATGTCTTCTTCTAGGAGTTTTAGGGTTTCAGGCCTTATGTTTAAGACTTTAATCCATTTCAAGTTTATTTTTGTGTATTGTGTAAGAAAATGGATCCAATTTCATTCTTTTTGCTCATGGATATCCAGTTTTTCAACATAATTTACTAAAGAGATTATCTTTTCCCCATTGTGTTTTCTTTGTGGCCTTGTCACAAAGAATACACGTATCCATGGGTTAATTTCTAGGGTTTCTATTCTGTTATACTGAGTTTATGTGTCTATTTTTATGCCAGTACCACACTGTTTGGTTTACTATAGTTTTATACTATAATTTGATATTAGGAAATGTGATGTCTCCAGCTAATCCTCACCGTATATGTACTGTTGTTGGAGACTAAGACCCTCCACATTCCAACGACTTGTCCTGACTTGTCCTGACTTGTCCTACACAGGGAAAATAGCCTAAGATGAAAATAGCACCCAGCCCTCCAGCTATAGTTCCGAGAAGAATGACGTGCTTGCTCCAGGGCATGCTACCTGCAATTGTTCCCGACCCCCTGCCAGGTTGGGGTTGAGTGATCCATCACAAACAGCTTTCGGTGCCATTGAGATGCTGATTGGGGCTGATTAGCCCACACCCAAGCCTCATCATTCCCCTATTCTATTTTTCTGTTTCTACTTCCTTGTTTCTGTATATAAAACCTACTAAAAATCCAAGTAAAGTAGACCTTGACAACCATTTGCTTGGTCTCGTTTCTTTCTCTCGCCCATCTCTTTCAGGCACGGTCCCCCTCGCCCCCACGAGTAACAGAAGGTCCCGCGGGCCGGGACATACTGTTCACCAGGAATCTGAGTTACATACAAATCTGACCTAAAGATGCTTTCAGGAATATATATCGTAACTTGGGGACCACCTGTATATACATGTATATATCATACACATATAAAATGTAGTATTTTCCACTTAACTTTGTTTTTTTGTTTTTTGTTTTTGGAGACAAAGTCTTGCTCTGTTGACCTTACTAGAGTGCAGTAGCGTCATTGTAGCTCACTGCAACCGCAAACTCCTGGGCTCAAGTGATCCTCCTGTCTCAGCCTCCCAAGTAGCTGGGAAAACAAGTGTGTGCAAACTTGCCCAGCTACTTTTTGTATTTTTTGTAGAGATGAAGTCTAACTCTTGCTCAGGCTGGTCTCAAACTCAAGTGACCTCAAGTGATCCTCCTGCCTCTGCTTCCCAGAGCTCTAGGATTACAAGTGTAAGCCACCATGCCTGGCCCCACTTAACCATTTTTAAGTGTAGCATTAATTACGTTCAAAATGTTGTGCAGCCTTCACGACTCATTTCTAAAACTTTCTTACCACCCTAAACAGAAATTCTGTAACCATTAACAATATGTCCTCAATCCCTCTCCTCTGAGCCTCTAGTACCCTCTAATTCATGTAATAGTTGTCCTTTTGTATCTGGCTGATATTACCCAGCACAATGTTTTCAAGGTTCATCCATGTTGTCACATGTATCAGAACGTCATTCCTTTTTGTGAGTTAATATTTGGTTCTATGTGTATACTACGTTTTGTTTATTCATTCATCAGTTTATAAGCAGTTGGAAACAAGTATCTGCTGGAATTCTTGCCCTCAGTTCCTTTGGATGTATACATTCAGCTTTCAATATTTGACTATTGTCTGGGTATGGTTCTCTTTTCATTTATCTTTCTAAAACTTCATTGAGTTCTTGAATGTATAGATTAATGTTTTTCATCAAATTGGGATGTTTTCATTCACTACATAGTCAATATTTTTCTGCTCTTCTCTCTCTCCTCTCCTTCTGGAATGTTCATTCCACGTATGTTCGTGTGCTTCATGGTGCCCCACAGTCCTCTAAATCTGTTCATTATTCTTTTTTTTTTTTTTTGAAAGTGAGCTGGTTAATTTCCTTTAATTTCAAGGTCACATAATGGAATTATTATCACTGTTTTTTTTTACATCAAAATGTGATAGATTAAAAAATCTGACAGTCCTATCTTCATGAATTTGAAGTGTTATACTATCCAAATGTCTCTTAATTAGGAGAATGCTAACCTGGGTTAGAACAACAGGAATATGTTTTAACACGGTTGCCTCCTAAACAATACCTCATGGAAAACTCATTCTGTGGGGTAACATGTATTACTTGAGAAAAGGAATTTCATAATCAAGAAAGTTTGGGAAATATTAGGTTAAAGAAATCTCAACTAGGTTCTTTGATATAAGACTTCTCAAAATCTTTAATAGGCACTGTGAAACTTCAAAAGAGGAATGTATGTGACATGTGGCATTTGCCCAGTGTATTTTAGTACAGATCCTTTTTTTCTAGTTCAAGGAAGCCACTTTAGGAAACATAATCTGACCCAATATTGTATTTCTAAAAGAGCTGTTATGGGAAGTTTTGGGTAAGAACACAAAATAGCTCTCCTTAACATGAATTGCTCACCTGACCATTAATTATAAAACGGTACAGGTCATGCTATAATTTAAAATGCATATAATGAATGAAGTTCATATGTCTAAATATAACTGAATTATTTGTAGTGGCGAAAATGAAAACACATTTCATTTGTAAGCAAAAGGTCTATGTAAAAATGGTGAGAGCCAAAGTGCTAATCCATATTACCACTAAACATTTAAAATGAGGTGTTTCCCAACACATACTATTTAGCCTGGAAGTGGGTCTGGCAGTGGTGGACTGTAGTGAAGCTGGCAGGATCTCCGATTTGATGGCTACATTGGTGACTGCACCATCCATCCTGTCTCACATAAGCCTGGCAACTGTGCTGCCTTCTCCAGCGTGGGCAGTAACTGATCAAAATGGTCAAGGTCAGCTGTAAACTGGTCTGGGACTCCAGTTTAATTTCCTCAGGAGCAGGTTTGGTCATTGGGGTTGGGTTTGTGTTACAAGGATCCATCTGCTCTTTCTTCCACTTTCACCTTTACATCATCCAGGCTCAGGTTTGGAGTTGATCTTAAATCTCTCATCTTTATCTAAAAGGTAGCGTAGGGCTGATGGTCCTTTGATTCGTTTTTCTTTGAAGAATCCAGTTCTAGTTTTATACTGGAGTTGCCTTGTGCCTGTCCAGTTACTGACACAGAAGTAGATGCACTGTCCTTTTTATCAGGCTCAACAGACAAAGTGGTGATATCTGAGGGGCTACCCTCCTGTAAGAGTCGGTGCAGAATTTTGTGCCTCTCTGTCAGTGACTATGGGATGAGGGGCAAGAACCCCCTGAAGCAGTTAGCGAGGCAGAGTTGAAGTGCCTGTGCAAGACAGCACATCTTTGCAACTGTGTCTATGTCAGCATGTCGTAACTGCTGTTTGGCAGTTGTTGTCAAAAGCTGCACTAGTTTGTGACTGGTTGAGAGTATTTACTGTCTCCATCTGACAGTCTGTCATTGTTATGCACAAGCCCTGAATCCAGAGGTTTGCCATCACTAGAGCTGTTGTCAGATTGAATCATTCATTTAAATGGTGCAATCTCTTTGTATCTTTGGACTCAGCTTTTGCTGGTTGTATATTTAATCTGCTCCGTGAATTCGTGAGCTGATCTGCCTGAGGACTGGAGAACTGGCAGAGAAGCCAACAGAGTTATTGTTCCTTCATTCATACCCTGTGAAGATGTTACTGGGATATTTGAATAAGATCGGTTACTATTATTACAGGCACTACTGTCATGCCAACAGGGGAGTTTAATGTCGAAATATTATGAGGGAATGAACTATTTGCATCCTGGGCCTTGTTGCCAATCCAGAAGTAACCTGTCTCCTTGGAGACATGAACTGTGCTAGTGATATTCCTGTACCTTCCATAGGAGAATTACTGAGATTTAAAGAGGGATTACTGCTCGGGAACTGGCCTGTCCTTGGTTTAAGGCAACATTGGCTACAATCTGATTTCCAGGTGAGCATCCAAAACTCCCTTGGCTGTTGCTAGAATTACTATGGAGTGCTGCTATGAAGGTCTGAGCTCGGTTGTCGGTTTACTCTGGTGGATACCATGTTGCTGTTGATGGTGGCAATGTGGATGAACGAGCCACACCATGAGCTGAGAGATACTAGGATTGACTGAGGGGTTTACTCGGGAATTGACATTCCAGAATTAGTGTCATCTTGAGGAGAAAGCCCACTGTGTTCCTGTCGATGATATGAATTCCCATGATGAAAGGTTGCATGTCTGGACTTTGAGGGTAGCAAAGTTTACACTTGGTGTGGGCGCTAAGCATTGTCCATCATTCAATATGAATCTATAGGATGGGCTGGAGGCAGTGCCACGAGTCATCACTTCTTGAAATAGTTGTCTGGCATAAGATGGCTCTCTGCCCTGAGGTTGGAAGAAAGTATAAATGCACTTCCTCACTAAATCTTCCCAGCCAGTTCTGCCAGCAGCTCTCAGGAACTAGTATCAATAGAGATGATTTTACCTGTAGTATCTTGCTTGTCATAAAAAGATTCTACACCCGTAATAGCTGGAGGCGAGGTAATCGTCGTGCAATACATATCAAACATGACTGGAAATCTTCTCCATCCTTGAATTGATTTTGGCTGTTGACACAGTGAAACACTGCATTACATTCATACCGCTGCGAAGCTTCTTGGTTCTCGGTACCTGGCTCATCTGGAGGGTGAATTAGCATCCTGCAGTTAAGGTATGGCTATTTCGTCGTGTTGCTTCTTGAGCCAAGGAACTCCATTTACTAGTGATTTTGGTAGCAGATTCTTCACAATTCTGCATGATCCCCCACATGTAGTATGCTGTAGACGCTGGTATTCATTAATTCTCCTGATTGTAACCCAAGTAGCTGGTTACATTCTCTGACACAAATACAATTCTCCCTTCACAGTTCACAACAAAGAAAATCCATCCAAAGCCTCTAAAAGAAGAGGCCAGGATTCCTTTTCTATCACTCCTTGACTACTTGATGAGATGTCTGGTTTCTGTACATCGTCATCAGTTGTTGATTTCTCTTGTTCCATTCTCTTCATCAGCTGTATCTGATCGACGTTTTCTTTCAAAATCTTGCATTTGTCTGGTTTTACACTCAAGCTGTCAGTGTCACTAATGTTGGCAGACAATAACTCAGCTAGCTCTTCTAAATGTTTATTTTCTTGCTCCCTGCGCCTCTTTTCAGTGCTTGATGCCAATGTGTCACATGGTGATCCTTTCTTCTTATGTGAGTCTGGGTTAGCAGGGTCGGATGAACTGTCCCGAGGCCACTCATGTTGGAAAACTTCACACCTGGGAGACTTCTTTGCTCATAATGAATTCTCAAACAAGATATGGTCAAATCTATGCTCCAGAGGCAGCTTCCACAGGAATGGTAATGAGTTTTCCAGAGATGGCTCTAGTCTCTTCCTCTCACCTCAGTTAAGGCCAATTATACGATAAACCTGTTTATTTCTAAAACTCTCAGAGTAGAATTTAGTGATTTCTCAGGAAATTATTAATTCATTCTCTGAAACAGTTGTAAAGGAAGCTTCATTTGAAGCAAGGTTCCTACTGCATGATCTTGCCTGTGTGGTTCTTGATTTTATCATCAGAGTCACTTCCAGTTACGTTCCATCAGTATGGATAGACCTGCGCTGGCTCTGCGCGAAGAGCAGCAGTGACAGGCCGAGGTGCTCGAGGCCCGGCCAGCGTCGGAGGACAGGCTTGGCGAAACCGCGTCAGAGTCCGCGCGCCGGCCTGGAGAACAAGCATTTCAGCGCTCTCCGCGGCCCGTGCTCTCTCCTCTCGGCCGCCGCCGCGTTCATTATTTCTTCATTTTTTTCCTCTCTCTTTTTGCATACTCGTAATTTCTATAATTTCAATAATTCTCTGATTCTCGTCTGCCAGCTCAAACTTACTGTTTAACACCATCTAAAGAATGATTTATTCAGCCACACATTTATATTCTCTCTAGTATATATGCCTCTTTATTATTTTTTTCATATGAATAGGCGTGAGATTTTTCAAACTTCAAGTTCTGCTATCTTTAATCATGCACATCAAACTCTTCTAGCTTCTACCGGTTCCAAAGCCACTTTCACATTTTATGGTTTGTTATAGCAACATCCCACTTCCTGATATCAAAATCTGCATTAGCTTGCTAGGGCTGCAGTAACGAAGTACCACAGACCAGATGGCTTAAGCAACAGAAATTTATTTTTTTATAATTCTGTAGGTGAAAGATGTGAGATCAAGGGGTTAGCACTTCTGATGTCTTCCTCCTGGCTTGTAGATGGTCATCATTTCCTTGTTTTTCACATGGTCTTTCGTAAGTACAGATCTGTGTCTAAACTTTCTCCCTCTATAAAGACACCAGTTATCTTGGATTAGGCCCTCCCTAGTGACCTAATTTTAATGTAATTACCATATTAAACACCCTATCTCCAAATACTAGGGAGTAAGGCTTCAGCATACGAATTTTGAGGGAGGAATAATGCAGTCCATAACACTCCGCCTGGCTTGGAACCTGCACCCTATGAGCAAGCTGGGGGGAGGGCTACTGTGGCCCTAATATTCTCAGCCTGCTACAAACTGGAGTAGAGCATCTGCCCTGCAAGTAGGGACTAATGTAGGGTAAGGAAGCCCAGTCCTCCCATGCAGAAAATGTCACCTTAGACTAGAAGCTAAGAGATGACAGAGACCCTGGTCTTCGCATGCATAGCTGTGTAAAGTAAAGGGGACATCACTCTGAGTTGGGGGAGGGGTGGCGATGAGAGTGGTTATAGTTCAAAGGCCATAATAGACTCTTCCTTTTCTTACAAAGATTGATTATATTTTCTTGAATAAATATTTCTTTGTTCTGTGCCCATTAAACAATTTCCAGAAACTTTAAATTAAAAAAAAACAATAATTTTCACTCCTTATATGTTTGTTTCACTGGCAAGATAGTCTGCTACAGATTGAGGTTTATCAATTTTATTGATCTTCTCATTTGATTTTGTTTTTTTCTTCTTTTTTAGCTTCTTTTGCAGCTTCTTAAGTTTGGGTCGTTGATTTGAGATTTTGTTGTAGTCTCCAGATTTTTATTTTTTTCTAATATAAGAATCTGATACTATAAATTTCCCTTTAAGAATTGCTTGACTACATTCCACTTTCTTCTTCTTTTTTTCCTTTTCCTTTTCTGTTTTTAAAGATAGGATCTCTTGGCC